CTTAGGACCTACGCAGACATATTCAGCTACAGCAGACCAAGAAGAGGAATCAATCTATCTAATTATAAATGATGCCCAGGGCAGAGTCAAGTTGACATCATAACTCAAACTCCAAAGGGATGTCAACAAAGTCATCTTGGGAAAGTTTGTTCAGCTGAATGGATGGACAAATTACTACTGTGTGTAAACGTGAACTTACTTTTGGAATTTTGGTGGGAATCAGTGTATGTGGTTCCCTAACTAACAATGTATTCAGGGCCATCTAGATCAGGATTCCCCAACCCCTGGGCCATGGACCAGTACTGGCCTGTGGCCTGTTAGGTACTAGGCTGCACAGCAGGAGGTGAGCAGCAGGCGAGCAAGCAAAGCTTCATCTAGCTCCCCATCACTTGCTCTACTGCCTGAGCTCCATCCCCACTCCCCCCACACACCCCATAGAAAAATTGTCTTTCATTAAACCAGTCCCTGGTGCCAAAAACGTTGGGGACCACTGAATTCTAGATGATTGCCTTGCATCAGGCAGTGGTCCATAGAGGCAAAAAGGGAAGTGGGAACCATAGTGGCTGAGGCCTGCGCCACAACATAGTGTCCCTTCCTCTCTCCTTTGGCCCAGTTCATGAATGAAAATGCACATGCAAGGAAACTATGAATTGGGCTACAGAACCACAGGGTCAGCTATACCACAGGTATAGCACCATAATCCAAGACACCTTAGCCATCATCCCTGGCTCTGCCCAGTTGGACACTGGTTATTGTCCATGGGAATATGGACACCCAGTATCCTATCCTAGAGATACTCTATGTATCCTAGAAATAAGGGATCCATTTCACCCTCTCCCAACCATGAATCTACTCCCAGTTCTCCTCCAAGGTTGCCTGTGCTAATTGTCATCTGTGAACTCCCTTTCTCCATTATCTTTCTCAAGTTCTCAGCAGTATTTAAAATGTTAACCACTTTTCCCTCCTTGAAACCCTATCTAGTCCTGGTTTTTGTAACTACCTGAGTCTCCTGTCTTTGTGACCACTCAGATGCTGTCTCATACCCCCATCTGTGGACATTACCCAACGTTCTATTTGTTAAGCCCTGCACACATCACTTTCTCAAAATTGGGCACAGTATCTTCTGCCCTTCTTTGTATTCCACACAACATTAAGGACAGTAATTTGCCCAAATTGTGACTTTAATCCATACTGGTTGCTTGATAAATAGACTAAATGCCCTGTTTCCTAAACCTGAATCTGCCCATCTGTCCACTTCCCTTGCTCTTACTTTCTTTCTGAAACCTAAACCTTCTTACCTAGTTGCAAGATACCTCACAACACTTTGTTTTCTTTCTCTCAATCCTCTGTAAGGTCCCCAAGGTCTTTATTCTTCTCTTCATAGCAATTCACAGGATCCTGTCAATGCTTCAACTACTGCCAAAGTGCAGCATCTGCAAACACATGGATGATGTGGCCACTCAGGTACCCAGAATGAGGTCAAATATGCAGAAAGGGCAGTTGCAGTAAGAAAGAGAGAACCATACTTCTTAGCAGAATAAACTTAGAGGCAGAGAACACAAAAGCACAGAAGAAATGTGGGACTAAGTCTGTAGGCAAGAGAAACTTAATCACTGCAGAACAGTATGACCCAAGCCCTCAGACAAATAATAATGACTTCCTCTTCCCACATACCAGAAAGGTTTTTTTTTTCCTGATGTCTGTAGAACAAAGCAATGTCCTGGGGAGAAGGCCATATATATCTCCTTTCTAGAGAAAAACTAGACTGAAGTCCATACCTAAGCAGGTGAGAGAAATGTATATAGGGAATTATATATTGCATGTTTGCTTGAAGACTGAGTGCTTTTTTCCTGAGCTTGAATTGTCATTGTCTTCTATGTAGCATTGAGCATTAGGAGGAAACAGGGAGCTCAAGCTGGGAGTTGGGAGGATTCCAAATGGCAAGGCTGTAGAAATGAGTGAGAGGCTGGGAGAAAAGAGAAACTTTGAAACCCAGAGTTTTCACAGGAAAACATTATTTCTATTCTATTTCCAAAATGCATTATATAATTGTTTTGACTAGACAAGATAAAGGTTGATTTACGAAAAGGAAAACTCAGAAAGCAGAGAAGATAGTATATCAGTCAGGCTCTGGAAATCAATAAAATCTGGACCAGATTTTAACAGATAGAATTTACCATAAAGAAGTGTTAGCTGGGCCCTGGCTGGTGTGGCTCAGTGGATTGGGCGCTGGCCCGCAAACCAAAGGATCACCAGTTCGATTTCCAGTCAGGGCACATACCTGGGTTGCAGGCCAGGTCAGGCCACCAGTAGTGGGTGTGTAAGAGGCAACCACACATTGATGTCTCTCTCCCTCTCTTTCTCCCTCCCTTCCCCTCTGTTTGAAGAAGAAGAAGAAGAAGAAGAAGAAGAAGAAGAAGAAGAAGAAGAAGAAGAAGAAGAAGGAGTGTTAGATGGATACAGAAATTTGTTCATAGGTATCTGAAAAAGCAGAAAAGGAACACTAAGGTGTCATGTAGGTTGCAACTTTGGGAAGCCGCTACCACCTTTGGAGCAGAAGGAGCACAACGAAGATGTTAGAATGATGACAACTTAGAAGAGGAATCCAGGGAGATGAAACTCAGACCTCAGGGAGGGAAGCTGTTTAGCTGGTTCTGCAAGTGTTAGGAAAAACACCAACTGGATTCAGCTTCTGCTCCTGGAAGGAACAGATGCTGCCGGTGTGAAGGTTGCCGCCACTGATAGGAACAGGAGACAAACAGCAGTAGTGAGGAATACTGAGTCCCTTCTATTTCCTCCAGGCTTGCACTCCTCACTCTAGAATCCTCTATTGAAAGATCCTAATAGGGAACCAGCATATAGAACAGAAATGTTTGTAAAGTTCAGCTCCAGACTCACAAAGTAGAGCTTAGAAGGATAGTTTGGAGCTGAGAGGCAATAGCTTAATTACTGGCAAAGGTAGATAAACCAGTAATTAAACTCGTGCTTAGAAGTTGCTCTGTGGGAGCAAAAATTTAGCCTTAGGTTTTTCAGCAGCAGGGTCAATGCTAAGGACATAAAATATTTTCTTTCCCAGTAAAGTAAGACACAGCTTTGGAGAAGAACTTCCTATTAACTGCAGAAGACACAGGGAAGGGAGTACAGTTGTTTTGGGGAGAGCTTGAGATAACAAGGTTCCTGAGGAGAATGGGAGTTTGAGCACAGTCACAGTTGCAAGGACTAAGGAAGAAATGTGGGCTCAGGGGATTGCACGGGGAGGGTCCAGCTTGCTGGTTTCTTTCCAGGTCAGCAGGTTCCATCGCAGGCTATGGTCACTTTCAGCCAACTGTTCCCTGAATGTTCAGGCAAGGCTGACTGCTGAATACAAAATGAGTACTCACCAAGAACCACACCCAGGTAATTTCAGGCATCTACCTTATTTTGGGTTATACATCGAAAGGCTTGGGCTCCAGACCTGCTACTAGTCCAGGAAACAATTTTTAGCATGGTATATAAAGCCCTCAGGGATCTTCTTGTTCAATTCTGTTGTTTGGCCTCTTGCCTCACCCGATTCTGAACTCAGAAATATTGTGTGGTTTTGAGCATCCCTGTTTCTCAGCCTGGAATGCCTTTCTGACTCCCTCTGCCTAGCTAATCCACAATCTTCTCTCCAAACCCAACTCAGGTATCTCGCCTTTGTGGAGTTCTTCCCTGGATCCCAAAGGCTGGGTTACATGCCTGTCTTGTATATTCTCACAGTTCACTTCTATGATAGCACTTAGCATAAGAATCTATAATTGCCAGGTTCATAATCACATGCTCTGATTAATCCAAGTTTTTACTTTCAAGAAATAGATGCTAATTCTGGCTGATTAAAAAGTGAAATATATTAATAAAAGGATCTTGGGTAGCCCACATGCTGCTGGGAGACTGGAGCAGCAGGCCTGGATGTCAGACTTCCAGTAACTATACTTCATACCATGAGCACCACTGCTGCCCAACTGAGCAGTAGGAGAAATTCCTGTTATGGTTCACACTGTAACAAGGATGCGATTTGTGTGCTGGGACCCTGATCTTACAACCACTACCAATGTTGAAAACTAGGTGCCTCTGTTGCCATCCTCACCAGCAAAACGGATTCTGATGTACCTCATTTTTCAAGTTACTCATATTTGAATTGAAGGATCTGATAGTATGAAAGCCAAGAGAAGATATGGTTTTGACAAGGAAGGTGAAGCCAATGATGCAGAAAAAAATCAAAAGATAAGGATTGAACATTGTTCATAGGATTTGCCCTCAAAGAGGCTCTTATTTACTTTGGCAAAAATAGTTGTTGATTAGAGGGAAAGTGGATTGAGGAGTGAAAGGATCTGAGATTCTGTTTCTGTATTATCTTTAGCCTGAGGATAGAGTCCATTGAAACTCTGGTTTATCCATGGCTGGTCTATTACACTTGCCACTTTGGATAAACTCTTGACCTTGTCTTCTTTCCTTTGCAAGCCAACAAAACAGATGCTAAAGAATTAGACACAAACCAATCTTTATGACAAACTTGCATAAAACTATAAAAACATACACATACAAATAAGTACAATAAAACTAGGGAAATGTCTGTGAGATTGGTGGATTTTATCAATGTTAATATCCTAGGTGGGATACTTTACTGTAATATAGTTTTGCACGATGTGACCATTGGGAGAAACTGAGTATGAGAGATTTCTGTGTTATTACCTACAACTGCATAATCTACAATTACACCAGTAAAACTTTGGGAATTAATTAAAAGAAGGCGTGTAAATGATTTTATATATCTAAAATTACACACATACATGTTTTATGCATATAGACAGCTGTACGGAAGGATGGTCTCAGAAAAATTAACAGTAATTAACCCTAGGTGGTAAGTCTCAGGGTAACCACTCTTCTCTGGATCATTGTTACTTCAGGGTCCCATTATTGCTGTGGTCCTCTTCCCAGTTCCTATGGCCCCCATCCACAAAGTCCCAGAAGCCACAGAGGCGTCAGGAGGGGCAGATGAAGGAGAGAAGGAAGTCCACCTCATTGCGGATGATGAGCCGCCCCGGGTGGATGCTGTCGGGCAGGGCCAGGCTGGAGGTCATTTCCCAGGCATCCACAAAGGCCACGCGGAGGTCAGCGAAGGCAGCTCGGAGGAGCCGGTTCATCTGCAGTGTGAACCAGTCACTGCCATACACGGACTTGCAGCCGGTGTTGGCCAGTTTGATGACCACAAGAGTGCGGGGCTCCCGGGCCAGCAGCGCAGCCACGGCTGCCCGGATGCCTGCCAGTCGTCGCACAAAGACGGATGGAGGGAAGGTGGTGAAGTGGGCGCCCAGACCCAGCACCACGACAGTGTGGGGGCCCCCGGCCAGGCCCCCCAGCTCCCGAACCACGGAGTGCAGGGCGGCCACTGGGGTGCGGAGGGAGCGCAGGGGCCAGCTGTGGGCCCGCCAGTGCAGCACTATGTTCCGAGTGGTCTCCACTGCCATCAGGGGCCCTGTCTGATACGTGGCGTGCAGATTCATGGGCTTCAGGGCTGGGGGAGGAGAACAAGAGAGGAGGCTTAGGGGTTAATATAGGGTTCTGTACCATCCTCTTGTACAGATGAAAGTGCCAGTCCCCAATTCCTAGGACATAAACATTCTGTTTCTAAACCCTAATGCACCCCTGTCCCCAAGTTTTCAAGGTTGCCAAACTTCTCATTTTTAGCTATCCAACCACTATTCAGTTTGCTTTTATTTCTCTAAGGCATTTCACTTTCCTCTGTTGGGTGACCTCTTCCAAAAACCTTTCTCTTACCTTCTGTAACACATTATCCCATTTTTTCCTACCACTCTTTGCTCAATTGTTTGCTTCCTATTTTCCTTGCACTACGTATATGAGGCATTCCTTAAAATTCTATCATTATTGTCCACTTTACTATCTACCTTTTGAAGTAATACATTCACTTCTACCTCAGCAAGCTTTGATTCCACACTTCCAATTTCCCAGTCACTATTTTCTCTCTAGTGGTCCACCATGGCCTTGTGTGCTTTGTATATGGCCTTGGGAAATGAATCTGCCACTTCTGCAGAAACCCCTCTCTCTACATCCTGAACCTCCCCCTACTGTCCCACACCTGTAGGCTACTGTTTTCAGTGACTTTCCAATATTTTATTTTTTCTTCGCTTTCCATGGGGAGGCTATAGTCATATCTGATATCTCTCTGTCTTAATCTGAAGTCAAATAATTCACCAAATCCTATTCATTATTCATTTTTAAGTTATCCTTTGTCCAATTCTTGTATCTAACTTTTACTTGTAGTTCAGGCTCTTAATAACCCTTGGCTACATTGATCTAGCAATATTGTACACGTACATACTGGCACTTTTCCGGGAACTTTTGTATAGGTGAAAAAGAGACTGATGTCCTTGCTGTCATGTAGCTTCCTGTCTCTGGGGAGAGAGAGAGAGATCCTGATGTAGAAGGGAGGTTGAAAATTTTGAATAACTGAATGGAGATTGGTGGTTCTGGAGCATAATGAATGTCATGAGGTGAGGTTAGAGATACATATAAGGTCTGGCCATGTAGTCCCTTTGGCATAGATTATGCCAATGATTTTGATTTTTGTGCCAAGGAAAATTAGAATCCATTGAAGGTGAGTGACATGATCCCATTTGCCCTTTAAAAAGCTCATGCTTGCTCCTTTGTGGAAATCTGGGGTAGAGGCGGGGTACTAAAAAGTGAAATGGGGGGCTTCCGCTCAAGGTGGCGGCATAGGCAGACATGACTCGCCACTTCAACCAACCACATCAAAATTTCAACTAAAATACAGAACAAGCATCACTCAGAACTGTCAAGAATCGGGTTGAATGGAAGGCTGACAACTACAGAATTAAAGAAACTACATCCACCCAGACTGGTAGGAGGGGCACAGACGCAGAACGGGCTAGCCTCTCACCCATGTGTGGTGAATAAATATCTGGGAGGGACAGCTCAGGAGCGAGAAGTCCCAGCCCCTCACCAGGCCCCCAGCCCAGGGTTCCAGTGCCAGGAAGGTAAGTCCCCACAACTTCTGGCTGCAAAAGCAGCAGGGATTGAGTTGGTGGAAGAAACCTCTGGAGCCCCAAGCGGTTCCTCTTTAGGAACCCACACACGGACTCACCTATGCAGACTCACTGCCTCTGAGCTCCAGTGCCCGTGTGGCAGCTTGAAGGGCACCCGTGACAAACTGGGAGAGGCTCAAGTGTCTGCCATCAGGGCAAGAAGAGGCCATTGTCCCTTTGCAGAGCCCTCCCCCCACAGAGCCACAGAGCCAGCAGGCTGGTGCCTATTTGAGACTCCATCAACATGGCTAACACTGTTTGACCCATCTTGGACATCCCCAGAGACACTGCCCCACCCAACTTTTGGGCCCACCCAAGCTGCTTTTCCATATGAATGGCTGGCCTTGGCTCACACTTCACAACTTCCTAAATCCTATCAAACAAGCCACAGCTGGCCTCAGTGAGCTCCAGGCCAGGCACTAGCAGCAGCCAGTTTAGCTTCACAGCTTGGCTTCACCTGGAAATCTCCGAGCCCAGCACAAGTAGCAGCCTTCTCATGTCACTTTCTAGCTCAGGAAGGGAGGTCCTGGGCAAAACACAGGTAGGGGCTAAAGGTGGCTGGTAGCACCCAGGAAACTCCAGGGTCAGCCAACCCAGTGGGCAACTACAGACCACTCTAGAGCACCACCACCCTGCCCCTGCACAGCTGACCCTCCATGAGAGGGGAGGTTGGTAGTAAGTGGTTACAGCCAATCCCTGCAGCTGACTGGCCTGGGTAAATCCCTTCCATTGATTTGCTGAGAGCAATCAAGGCTCAACCACAAGAGGAGGGTGTATTCAGCCCACATGAATGGTGCACCTCGACTAGCTTGGGTGAAAGGGGAGGCTGTGCCACCAGACCCTATAGGACACATACTACATTAGACCACACTACCAAAACATGGAGTCACAGCAGCTCTACCTAATACATAGAAACAAACACAGGGAGGCTGCGAAAATGAGAAGACAAAGAAACATGGTCCAAGTGAAAGAACAGGCCAAAATTCCAGAACAAAATGGAGATAAGCAATCTATCAGATGCAGAGTTTAAAACACTAGTTATAAGGATGCTCAAGGAACTTAGTGAGGACCCCAACAGCATGAAAAAACCCAGTCAGAAATGAAGGATTCACTGACTGAAATAAAGAACAATTTACAGGGAAACGACAGTAGAGTGGATGAAGGTGAGCATCAAATCAATGATTTGGAACATAAGTAAGGAAAAACAACAAATCAGAACAACAAGAAGAAAAAAGAATCCAAAAAAAAAAAAATGAGGATAGTATAAAACTGCCTCTGGGACACTTCAAGAGGTCCAACATTTGCCTCATAGGGGTGATGGAAGGAGAAGAGAAAGAGCAAAAAATTGGAAGTATATTTGAAAAAATAGTGAAATAAAACTTTTCTAATTTTGTGAAGGAAATAGACATGCAAGTCCTGGAAGCACAGAGAGTCCCAAACAAGATGGATACAAAGAGCCCCACTCCAAGACACATAGTTAAACGGCCAAAGTTTAAAGGTAAAGAGAGAATCTTAAAAGCAGCAAGAGAAAAGAAGTTAGTTACCTACGGGGGAGTTCCCATAAGACTATCAGCTGATTTCTCAAAAGAAATTTTGCAGGCTAGAAGGGATTGGCAAGACATATTCAAAGTCATGAAAAGCAGAGACCCAGAGCCAAGATTGTTCTACCCATCAAAGCTATAATTTAGAATTGAAGGGCAGATAAAGAGCTCCCCAGACAAGAAAAAACTAAAGGAGTTCATCATCACCAAACCATTAGTATATGAAATGTTAAAGAGACTTATTTAAGAAAAAGAAGAAGATCAAGAAGAAGACTTTACAGCACATATTACTAACCATTATGCAATACCGACCTGGCAGGAGGACTGGGGCTAAACTGCTAGTCAAGAAATAACACCCCCTAAACTCTATTTCTCCCACCTCACCCCCTTCCCTGTCCTCAACAAATACCAGACTTGCTCAACTAGGGCACTTTTTCCTGGGGCTGCCATTCTGATCCGGACTGGAGAAATGCCTTGAGGGAGCACCTTGTCTGTCACTTTCCTGGGAAAGCACCAAGAGTGAGCATCAGTGGTGGTGGGGGAGCGGCAAGAAGGTGAAAGCTGTAATCCAGTATGGGGATATGATGGTTGACTTGTAATTTCTACTCTGCTTAAGTCCTAAAAGAGTTTGAGGTAGTTACAATACCTCACATTACAATTAGCACATTTATAATGAGAGAATTACAATAAAGAGTCAGATAAAGTAGTCAGAGGAAGAGAAAATCTTATCAGGAACCTGGACCTTCTGCAATTGACCCACCCCTTAGCTCTTAGTTTACTAACGGTCCAGGTAAAAAAAGAACATCCAAGTTGGATCATGTAGTACTCCTTCTTGATAAATAGGGGTACACAAAAATGCCAGGAGAGACAAATTTTCTGGCACTAAATTCTGGAAGGAGCATGGAGCAAAATACATTTTTGTTACAAAAAGCTCAAACAATAGAGATAATAAAACCACTCCTCAAGTGTGGGCTGTACATAGAGATGCCCAAAGAGTACAGTGTGGAAGGAGAGGATGCAGGGGAGTAATGGCACGGTAGGGAAACGGCAAACAGTCCCCCAGCAACGGGACCAAATTAACATCAACACTCATAAATCATGCTGATAGTATGTACCCTTGATATGATGTGATGAAAATGTAACCTGGCCTCTGTGACCCTTCCTCTCCAAACCCAAACCCACCTCTAATCATAAGAAAAGCATCAGACAGATTTCAATACAGAGGAATGCTGCAATGTAATTAACCAAGACTCCTCAAAACTGTCAAAGTCATCAAAAATAAAAAAAGTATGACAAACTGTCACAACCCAGAAGAGCCTTGCCAACTAAATGTGATGTGGTATTCTGGACGGAATCCTGGAACAGAATGAGAACATCAGGTCAAAATAGCGATTTTCATCCTTTTTCACCTCATGAACACTGATTACGAAAAAAATACAATTTTTGCTCATCTGACCAAAAAATAGCACCATTTTGATTCATTCATACTGGATGGCTATTGTTGGTTGGCTGTTGTCATATTGTGTGTGTGTGTATGTGCGCGCGCGCGCGTGTGTGTGACCATTAAGGGAAAAGAGGTCAGTGTCCCTGACTAAATAGTCAAGTATTACATGTTTCAAAAATCCTTGCTGCACACCTGTTGAAAATCACTGAGTTAAAACTAAAGAAACTATGGACTTTACTTAGTAATAATGTATTGTTATTTGTTCATGAACTGTAACAAATATAAAAAATATATGCAACTCTAAAAAAGGCAAAGTTAATATAGACTTTCAGAAAGCAAATCAGTGTTTGCCTGGGACTGGAGGTGGATGAGGAAAATTGGCTGTACAGGGACACCAGGGATTCTTCAGAGGTGGTGGGAATGTTCTCTTTCTTGATTGTGGTGACAGTTACATGGGTGTGCACATTTATTAAAACTCATCAACTTGTGCATCTCAGACAAGACCATTTCATTGCATGTAAATTATACTGCGATAGATTAAAAATTCTTTTCATCAAAACAAAAACTCAGACAATAAGGTTCTGAGCTGCTGAAGGGTGGTAATTCAATAAATAGCTATTAAATAAGAATAAATACTTGAATGTATGAACTGTTGTCTCTAGAATTAATGGGTTCCAGATCCAACGAGGCTGGAACTACTGCTGGGCAATCCTTTTGTGTGCTTCCACCTAGATGTCTCTCCCATTCCTCAAAGCTGAGATTGGGAGAGACATTTTTCTTAACTCGTCTTTCTTCCTTCGCTTCCCAGGCCCAGAAACAAGGTTGGGACAGTGCCTCATAATTTACAGAAGTTTTCTCAACATTACTTTTCTCGTCAGAAAAATATCAACCCATCTTCACTTCCTGTTGCTCTACTCAGAAGAAAAAGTGACACTGTATTGTAATGCTACTTCCTTCTGCATCTTTTAGATTGTACCACCTTCTTCCTCTTCTTTATTTTTTATTTTTTTGGACACCATCTTTAACGTCTTCCCTCAAGTATTTTCTTTTTTTCCCAGAATATAAACATAATCACATCTGTTCCATTGAATAAAGCGCCTCTTCCATTACCTCTTTCTGTGGGTGCAACTCTGTCAGGTTCCTTTCCTTCCTAGGACTTCTTGAAAGATTCATCGGCCCTTGTTATCTGCCTCATTTTCCCACACCCTATGCACATTTTAAAAGTTACTTTATTGTGTACCCAACATCCAGTTCTACAGGATATTTACTTTTGCAGATTTGAATTAGATCTTTCTTTAGAAATAAATACATCAATAGCTAAAATTAAAAATCATGTTGGGGAGGGTACAGAAAAACTGGACCTCTCAGACATTGCTGGTGGGAATGTAAATGGTACGGCCACTCTGGAAAATAGTTTGGCAGTATCTTATAAAACTAAACATCCACTAAGTGCACAACTCAGCAATCACATGCAGGCATTTATTCCAGAAAAATGAACACTTATGTTCACATGAAAATCCAAATATGAATGAATATTCATAGAAACTTTACTGATAATAGTCAAAAATCAGAAACAACTCAAATGTCCTTCAATGGGGGAATGGTTAAACAAACTTATACAACGGAATACCAAGTAGCAATAAAAAAGAATGAATTATTGATACATGCAACAACTGTTTTCTATTGTAAGCACTAATTCTGTATTAATTGTGTGTGTTACAGATATCATCTTCCAGTCTTTATCTTGATTTAAACTATGTTTATGGGACTATTATAATGGAGAAGTTTTTTCTTTTCTTTTCTTTTATGATTTGTGCCCTTTGTCATGTCTAAAATAATATTTTCCTGACCCAAAATCCAAAATATATTTTCTTTTCTAAGTTTTAACATTGCTTTTTTTTTTTTTTTTTTTACATTTAGGTCTTTATCCTCATGACATTGATCTCTCTCTCTCTCTCTCTCTCTCTCTCTATATATATATATATACTGTGAGGTTCAGAGCAAATTATATTCTTTTCTGTTTATTTACTATTCAATACATTCCCCATTGGTTTGAATACCTATTATATTTAAATAAAGTTAGTTATCTTTTGGACCTAGTCTGTTCTATGATTTCTTTAGCTGTGCCTCCACGAAGGTCACATGTCACATCAAGAGACTTGCCTAAAGAGATTTCACACAAAAAATTGAAACATAAAGAGAAGAAAAAAGATATACCATGAAAACACTAAACAAATGAAAGTTGTTATAGCAATGTTCATACTGTAGAAATTAGAACTTAAGACAAAAAGCAAGAAAGTAGCATGAATAATTTACCATTAACATAAGACAATCACAAAGTTGAATGTACTTAACAACATAGCCTTGAAATGTATAAATTGAAAACGGCATGAGTTACATAAAGAAATAATCAAATCGCAGACACAGTATGATTCACTTGTGTCTAAACTACTAGATTAAGCAGATAGAAAAATTATTGAAGATATACATGTTTGAAATAAAATAGTTAACAATCTACATGAAATAGGTTCAGAATTCCATTATGAAGAAATAGAGGATACAAATTATTTTCAAGGAAATATAGAATACAAACAAAAACTTAGTCATTTGCTAAGTCAAAAATAAATTTTCAACAAACTTCAAAGAATAAATATCAGAAACCATATTTCTAGTCAGAATGCAAATAAATTAAGAAAAAAAGGAAGATAGCTACTTCCTTACTTTATATTCAGAAACTAAGAATAATTCCTAAATAACTCACAAATCAAAAAGAAAAATCACTGTGTAAATTATAAAACATGTAAACTCGATGAAAATGAAGCTCCCATATACAAAAACATGGAGAATATAACAAGAGCTGTACTCTGGGGGAAATTTATATCTTAGCTACTTTTTATCCTATATAAGGAAGATAGATAGATTGGTTAATTGCTCTGAATAATGAAATTAGAAAAAAGAAATAAGCAACTATCATGAGATATCTTACATATACTTGCAGAAGAGGCTGTTTCCATTGGGCGCTATCACTGACTCACAGTAAGTCTTCCACCAAATTCATCACATTTTGTTGGAGGCTGCTTCATACCCCAGCAGGGCTGCCCCAATTCTCTGCCTAATACAGGGTTACGTGCCTGGTATATCTACAATTTCAATAGGCACCAGTGCCTCTGTTGGTTATTACCATTAATAAGTGTGTCTTTCCATATTAATAAATATAATTATATAAAAAAGAAATCCTGAAGTCAATAAAAAGAACAAATACCAAAGATGCCAGCAGAAACAATAAAATAGAATGGAAACTTCATTTTCCAGACCCAAGTATTCGTACCAACCCTTGCATGAGAACCACTAAAAATTCTGGACAAAAATGTTTTAAAATAATTTTTAAAATAAAGTTGTAAATAATTCAAGGTCTAACAAAATAAGGAATTTTCAGATACAAGTCTTAGTGCAGACAGGAATTTAGATAACTAAATGAAGCACTCAAGCCCCTTTTGCCCTGAGATCATGTTCTGCATTGAATATCTCATCTCTTATCTTTCCTGGAGAATTCCTATTGTTTTAAAGCCCCAGATCAATTGTAACCTTCCCTAAGTGGATAGGCTGACCAGTTTCTTGTGGTACAAGTCTGTTCAGAAATGTCTGTCATATAATAGGTGCGCAACAAGCATCTGTTGCATAAGAGTTTAAATAAACGAGTGGTGTAAACTTGGAAGGGCCATTGGGTCACAGGGGCAATATTTAGAAGGAAAGATGCAGCTTAGTGTTGGAGCAGGCTTCTTGGATTCTATGTTTTCTTACCACGCCAGCAGGGCCTCATCATGAAGAGTAGCCACATGCAAGTAACTTCCACTTGAATGCCCAACTAAAGAGTTGCAGGGCGGGGTAGAGGGTTGAGCACAGAACTGGAGCTCACCCAAATCCACATACTTGTACTGGCAGGTAGGCCCTCTTGCTCTAGTTGACTGCGGGTCAACATCCCAAGTCACAATCTCTTCAGTTCCTGTGGGTCACCGGAAATACCCTTTAAAATCAACAGTGACCCTTTTCTCTCTCCAGAGTCTTCGCAGAACTCCAACTGCCTCACTGGAGTAGATCAACTGCACTTGCACCTGGGCCTGCCCAGCCGACAGAAAGGGGAAGGACAGGAGGTATGTGCCATTCTCCAGATCCCAGACATCCCCAGGGACCCCTGCCTTCAAGTCGGGACCCAGCAGCTGTGCCCGAAACAGATCCCCACCACGGGTCTTGGGCCTGCCCCGATGGTCTCTGGCCACAAGGACGGCCTCCAGGTAGCCTCCTAGGGTGTAGCTGGCCTGGGCAGGGCCCCTCAGGTGGTAGGTGGAGGTCTCAGGGCCGGTGGAGGCCAATAGTTCTACCTCATTTCCTGGGGTCAGAGGCCAGTGCAGAAGACGGGTCAGGTTTGCAAGCTCCTGGGAGAGAGACTCCAAGAGGGAGTGAGATTCTGTGGACTTGGGGTCAGATTTAGAGGCAGAGTAGGGTGCTGGGGCCGAGGGATGGTGCTGTCAAGCCAGAACATCTTGAACCAGAGGACCTGTGGGTAGAGAAAGGAAAATCTATCAGTGGTCTGTGTTTTCCTCATTTTCTTTTAGGAAGGAGATTTCCACTCACTGAAGCTACTCCCCTCTGCCAGGAGTCCTGTCCTGCCTGCACCAGGCGGTCTGTCATTCATCAGCCTAGCGTCTGAGTCATAACCACATTTACTTAAAAGTGGCATCTCATGTGAAGGTGAAGTTATATCCCTGGATTGCAACTGTCTTCTTATCTCAGCCTATTCCCTCCACTACCACCCCCATTCCCCTGCAGCATACATGGAGAGGTGTGCAGGCCTAATCCAACCGTCACGTCCCTTGCTTCCCTCCCAGAACGTGGCATTCTGATTAAGTGTCCTTTTTTTTTTTAAAGAAATTTTCCAAGCTATAGCTTTATTTTTTTTTAATTTAATTTAATTTAATTTTTTTTAGAGACATTGGAAGAGAGGTAGAAAGAGAGGAAGGAAAACATTGATGTGAGAGAGAAACATCAATCAGTTGCCTCTTGAACTCCCTGACTAGGGCATGTGGCCTGACTGGGAGTCAACCTGGTGACGTTTCAGTTTGTGGGCTGACACCCAACCAACTGAGCCACACCAGTCAGGGCTCTTTTTTCTTCCTATTCCCTCTATACCACTCCACCCCCACCATCTCCAACCTAGATTTCCAACAGAGAGTTGGAGGTGGGCAAGCCCATCACTCAATGCTGCTGAGGGTTATAAAGGAAGGAGGTTAGACCATCTCTTAGGGAGCTCCCTCTCTAATTGGGCTCAGTGGACAAAAGAAACAATTCAACCATGGAAACCTTTAGAAAAATGAGAAGCTATAGAAAGGCACTGACAGAGGCGATGGTTGGAAAAAGCAATGAGAAAAGGCAGATTCTTTTCTAGAAAGATAAAGTATTTATTATGACAAAGAGTCTCCTCCAGAGACCCAGAGCTCTCTGGTATCATTCTAAGAAACACAGTCACAAATACAGAGCAGAGAAGTGTAATGATCCAAACAGGAAGAGCAGTAGAGGGAGGTCTTGCTTTGTGTGATGCAGGATGGTGGTGGATATGACAGGGAGACTATGCTCCTGGCTTATCAGATACTTAACCTACAAGCACAAATAGTCCCTTCTACTCACGCAAGCGTGATTCAGAAAAGAAGCAACCCACCGACACATCTCAAATTCCATGGCAGCATATGGAAAGCATATGTTAGACGGCGGGCTCTGTTTTGATTGCTGGAGGAGAAAACACTCACAGGATTGGCTCCCCTCTGGGCTGGAGAGGAGCAGCGCTCATAAGCATGGAGCCTGGGCTCGGATCCAGGACTGTGTGGTTTCTTGGGATGTCTGGCCCACACTGGCCAATGGTGTCTTGCAAGGTATCTGGCTCTTATGAGACCTGTCCACAGTCCCTCATCCTGGGCTGGGAGAATATCAGGGGAGCACTAAATTGGGAGATCACAAATCAGAACGGCTTCTTGTCCATCCCTAACAAATGGCAAAAATGTGCTGGTGAACATGTCCCATATTCCCAGAAGCAGATACTGTTTAACCCCATTACTTGTAGCTTTCCCACCACACAAAGGGCCCTGAAAATTTGACTGACTAGTAAGAGCAGCTAAGAATATATTTGAGAGAGAAAGACCAAAAGTATCAGTTCAACATGAAAAGAATTATTAGATATAGGAGGTTACATGGATGTTTGTTTTATTATTCCTGACATGTCATATACATGTTATGTATGTTCTCTGGTAGGTGAAAAATACTTCATAATAAAAACAAATTTTTAAAAATTCTCTGCTTAATTTCTCTTTAACCAAAGAAGAACCACAAAAAGGAAACCACAATCTGTCTAGATCAAAATAAAAGGATGAAACTTCAGGATTAACATCTTTAAGGTGACGAGTAAGAAACCCTGGATCCTCTTTCCCCACTGTGAATACATAGGTTCTGCAAGAATTCACAGACTAATTTCCTTTTTGAGAAGTACAAAACTAACTGAAAAGCTTTTACACTCTAGGTGAATGTGAAAACAGACTTATCAAAGGTGGTAAGGGGATTCAGGACACCCCTGGTATACTGCAGTATGATCAGGAGGAGAACCCCAGCTCCCAGCTTCTATCAGCGCCTGTGATGCTCCTCAGGGGACTGGTTTCTGGCCGGCCAGTGTTGCAATGCTGATGAGACCAGCACAGTCTAGCTGCCTGGGGGAGAGCAGGACTACTAGCAAGGACTCCATAGCTCCTCCCCCTGGCTCAGCACAGCTCCCATGCTGGTGAAAGAAGCCAGTCACAGAAAGACAAATCCTGCGTGATTCCCCTTATATGGAGTATCTAAAATTGTCAAATTTATGGAACCTAAAAGTGGAATGGTGTTTGGCAGGGGCTAAGGAGAGGGAGAAATGGGGAGCTTCTAATTAATGGGAATAAAGTTACAGTTAAGCAAGATGAATAAACTCTACAAGGTCTGCTGTACAACATTGTACCTAAAATATTGAGTTGTATACTTTAAAAATTGTTAAGCAGGTAAATCTCATGGAGAGTTCTTATCACAATAAAATAAAATTTAAAAATAAAAAATAATTTATCTTAATCAAAAGATATTATTAGAGTAAAAAGCACACATGACGCAGAGCTGGAGAAGATATTTGCACCATGCACAACAAATGAAGGAGTTGGTATCCAGAATCTATAAATAATTCCTACAAACTAATAAGAAAAGACACACAACCCAATTTAAAATGGATAGAAGGTACTTTAACAGCATTTCACAATAGAAGAAATTCTAATGACCGATAAATATATGAATAGGTGCTCAGCTGAATTAGTAAGAAAAGGAATGCGAATTAAAATCACAATGAAATACCTCTACATATTCAAAGGAAGGCTACAGTTAAAATACAATACCAATGTTAGTGAGGATATAAAGCAACTGAATCTCTCATATTGTGCTGGTGAAAGCATAAACTGGAAAAACTACTTTGTAAAACTGTTTGTCAATATGTACTAAAGGTTAATAATGTATCATGTCTTAGGACCAAGCAGTTTAGTTTGTTGGTGCATACCCAACAGAAAGACATGCATATGCACACCAAGAAATATTTAAAATAGCCCCAAACTGAGCACAATCCAGATGGTTATTAATAGTAGAATGAATAAGTAAATTGTCTTATATTCATATACTGCAGTACTACCATGAAAAGAAAGTTAACAAATAACAGCTTTACACTACAATATGGATGAACCTCACAAAGTAGAATTGTTAGGAGGGGTGTTAGACCTCAGTTCTTGAGTACAGCAAAGAAAGAATTCAGGGCCAAGGACTCTAAGACAAGAAGTTAATTTAGAAAGTCACTGAGGTAGAAGAAGTGAGCCAGCTGCTCTATATGGACTCAGGAAACAAGTTACAGAAATAAAAGAAGGGCCCTTGGAGTTTAGGAGATAGAAAGTAAAGAAACATGCCTTGAGGAAAGAAGCAGGCATGGGTGGGTAGTGCAGGCACGCTCCAGGCAGAGACAGAGTGTGTGCACACTGGGTTCCTTGCCTTGAGGATGTTTATGTGTTTTCTAAAGGCAAGAATTTTAGGGGAGGTCTCTGGGGAGGATCGTAATAGAATATTCATCAGCTTTTCAGGTGTGTCTTCTCAGGGTCATGGTCTGTACCGACTGACTGGTTCTAGGGTAGGGGTCATCAGCCATTGACTCTTACCCAGATGTCAGCCATGGCCTTGATTCATTTGGTTTTGCTGCTTTTCTGGGCATAAACACAACTGAAGCCTAGGCACGATATCTAGTTTGACCAAAACTCTGCCTCCATGGTCAACAGACCCACGGCTTCTGCTTAATGCTTAAGGGAGTGGTCATGTAAGGGAGAAGGAGGCAGGTGACTCAGGGAGCTGGATGAGGCCCGTCTGCAGCAGCTACCTGCCTCAGTTTCCCTAGTCTACTTGCCAAAGAATTTCCTAGTTTCTTACTATCCTGCATCAGAATGAAAGAAGGCACCACATAAAAGAATACATAGTATATGACTGGATATCTATAAAATGCAAAATCAAACAAAAAGAAACTATAATGTTTATAGCTAGAAAGAAGAGAGGATGATAGTGACAGAGTAGAAGGCAAAAAAGGAAGCTTCTGGGATACTGGTAATTTTTATTTCTTGACTTGTGATGATTACACAGCTGTATTATCTTTTATTTGAGTTCTTATTACATATATTTTTATGTAGTTATAATTCAAATGTTTTAAAAAGTGGAAAGTTTTGGGTGCTGCACCAAGATGTCTCACTCTCTCACAGTGAAAGCTACTCTGGAAAAATCAACTCTTTCTCTGGACCTGATTTTTTTTTTTCTAATCCTCTCCCGAGGGTATGTTTATTGGAGAGAGAGAGAGAGAGAGAGAGAGAGAGAGAGAGAGAGAGACATCCGTGTGGGAGAGAAACATCACTCGGTTGCCTCCTGTGCATGCCCCGACTGGGGATCAAACCTGCAACCTAATGTACCCTTGTCCAGGAAATGAACTCCAACCAACTGAGCTACCTAGGCCAGGACTGGGCCTAGTTTTTAATGTGGACCAAAAATGGGCCACATAGTAAACCTGAGAAGCTCAGCGAGGCCTGCATGAACAAACTCAGAGACTGAAAGTAACCACTTAGTGAGACAGTATAAGGACTTGGGCTTGTGAGTGGAAAAATACCCAGTGTCCAGGAAGACAAGTTAAGATAAGGTGTCCAGAAGAAACATCAGATGAAAATCCCTCTACCCCTCCATACCCTGCCAAAAGCCATTGCAGAATTTTGTCTCTCTTCTAACAGCTTGCTTTTCCTACCCAACATGAAAAATTCCACAAGCCTGCTTTTTCCAGAAAGCCTGTGGGATTTTGTTTTTGTTTGTTTGTTTGCTTGCTTGTTTGCTTGTTTGTTTTGAAGCCTGCATTGTCCCCAGCTTATAAAAGCCACCAAGCAGAGTCAGCCCCCAGGCCAATTCAGAGGACCTTCCTTTCCTCTGGGCTGCCTCCCTTGTGCTCAAGCAAAAGTCTAATAAAAATCTGTCTGGAAATTTCTCTGGGTTTTCCTCTTGATCTCTCTCTCTCTCTCTCTCTCTCTCTCTTGGAAATCTCAAGAACCCCAGCACCAATAACAATAGGATGGTCTGAACATAAAATTTCCTAACTAAAAGCGAGTCATGGCAGGTAGTCACATCCTAGGCACATCCTAGGCCTGTAGCTTCCTTGACAAACGTCAGTCTTTACCTCTCCATTAAGTAAGCTTCTCTATTGCCTTTTTGCAGCTAAAATAACGTACCTTTGGAATGTCAAAGCAATCCCCTATTTGGGGACCCCTCAGAGTACAACCTTATGCCAGAGAATGAAAACACCAAACCGCTCATTGTTACTTTGTTTCGCAAATACCATGTCTGTTTGCTGAAAGTCTTAATTGTTAACTATCCTGTATCCACCAATGTAAAAGAAGTAAGTGTCTTTCTGTTTTACTCCATCCAGTCTCAGAGATTTCCCAGCTTTACTTTCTTCCACCTTCCTAATCTACCTTATATATAAAGTAAATTATAAAACTGCCATTATCTGGAGCGTTTTCTCAGTCCATTGAGATTTTTCTTTCTGACAATTGTCAGTTTGGCTCAAATAAATTTAGAAAAATTTTCTACAGGTTTGGACGTCTCTTACATCAACATTAAGAAATTAGGATTTCCCTGCCAAACTCCTTCATGCTGTTAGAATTAAGGCCAGTTTGTAAACCGATCTTGCCATATTGAGGTTGAATTACTTTTAAGAGAAACTAGAAAGTCGTATTTTCATGTGAAATCTCCTACTCTTTAAATACCAATCGCTCATTCAACTATTTTACACATGACTTGAAACAGGCTAAAAAATAGGTATCTATAGCTACTTTAAGCTCCAGAACTCTAGTTATGACCTATGAACAAACGGAAATGCCTTCTCTTAAAGGCATTCTTAGCTTCTTGGCATAGCCAAATTCCCCCAAAATACCACAAAACACTCCTGCCAATTGCCCATTCTCTTTGCAGACAGGAATTTTTTCCTGAATCTCTGCCTCTTTTTCCCTTTGCTAAAAAGCAGCACTGGACTTCTATCTCTCATACACAGTGGCAGAAAGAGTGAGAGAGCTAAGGACAAAGTAAATTGCTTTTTTTGTTTTTCTCCACTGGAAATTCCCTGAAACAATATCTTCTGGGTTTGTGTTTCTAATACCTTAATAGACTCCAACACCCAACCACTCACCCTCCTCCTAAGGATGATGTCCCACCCGGAAATTATTGCCACTGGAGTCACACAGGGACAGCGGGAAGGAGATCGAGAGCTCCCTCAGTCCCCTCTCACAGACTAAGGCAGTAATCAATCCAAATTCGAGGCTGCACAAGGAGAGAACAAACGAGCCAGCGACAAGAGAGTGTGGAGCAAGGGTAGTATTCACGAAAACTAGAAGCACCAACCCTGCAGTCAGAATCTTGTACCCCTTGCATTGCCCCACGAATGGACACATGGCAGCATAGACTCTGCCCTGAAATATCCAGTAGGAACCATGAACCTAGGTGGATCATAAAATGAAAGTTTAATAAGTCCTCCCAAGTTACTGAATTACTTCTTGTAACTTCCCAAGAGAGGTTCTGCCTGATACTGCAAGTTATTTCAGACCCTGTGTCTCTCAAAATCCATCTTTCTAAGTCCTAAACTTCCCCAGAATTTATAGTTTCTCTTTCTGGACTTTGAAACCCATTGCAGCGTCTGATAAGGAGGTACCTTCCATTCTGGGATGCCAAGGATGCCCCCGGGTCTTTGCACTAATGACCTCTTCCACAGTTGTTTTAAATAATAATTCACCATACCCAAAAGCCACTCAGTGAGACTACATATTTTGTCATTCACTTGTAAATTTTCATAAAATGTATTTGGTGTTAATTGTATCCTTCTACTGATATATCGCGACTCCATAATGGGAGGGCTTTGGCATGAGGGAGGAGAGGCCAGCAACCTGGGAGCGTCATCATGGGTTATTTCAGAGCATGACAGAGAGGTGACTGAGGTCTGCTACAGTCAGGGTGGTATTCAGCATGTGTCGGTGCCCACTGCCCTGAAATATTATATATAATGAAATAATAGAAGGTAGAACAGAGAGTTGGAATATCAAATCTGAAGAATACAAATACGCCAAAATAATAATCAACATTGTTGATTGTTGTTGTTGATTGAACTTCAAATTTGGTCTGAGACTCAATCAGCTAGAGTAAAAAGGAACAGTGCAAACCATACCAGTATTTCCCAACCTCCAGTCATGCACCAGGAATTTCACACGATTTTGCCATGTTGTCATGAGCATCTCTTCATGATACAGTCTTTCCTGTAAGTCAGCTGGGCAACTGCTCAGTGAGCTGCCTGGTAAGCAGCCCAGCACCAAGGGATAGACAAAGAGTCACACACAGTAACTATGCTATTCACTCTGCTTTTATCGAATGCAGGTTCACTCAAAGTAGAATAGCAACCTACATTAATATCCTACTTGCACTCTAACAATCTAAGAGAAATATAAGATACACACAGAGCGATCAATGGGGGATAATGAACCCTACTCCCAGAGTCTCAGTCTGTAGGTCACAGGGACAGCATGGTAGGCAAGAGAGTTATCAGCATCTTGCCAGGAAGGATCTCCAGAGCCAGGCGGGAAGCAGAACAGGCAAAGTCCTCAGTCCGGCAGGGCAGAGCCTCCAGGGGTCAATTTTTGGGAACTGTCCCACCTGGTTTCAGGGGCTGTAGCCTCACTGACAGGCGAGAGGGACCTGAGGCTGGAGCTGAGCAAGGAGGTCTTGGGAAAATAGGCCACTGAGGAGACAAAACCTGTCCCTCTGGCAGGGGCACAGCCCCTGCCTCCCTCACATCACCCTGCTTGGCCCCGGAGGATGGCTGGTGAGTCAATGACAGGTAAGACCCCTTAATGGCAGGGGCAACCTAAGACAGGCACAGTCGCATGGGGGTCATCAGGGAAGGACTTGGGGAACACGGAAAAAGGACAAAAGACCCTCACCTCTCTGCTTTGCCATGGCTGGAGACCTCATTCTATCTGAAACAAGTTGCTTTATCTCTCGGCTGCTCTGCCCACTGCCTGACTGGGTCAGAGAAACAATACTAAAGGCAGGTATAGCCCTAAACTGGATCAGGTGATCCCTGGGGACAGTTAGGACTGGAAAAGGAATGCAGTAAATCCCATGAAACTTACTTTGCTAAGAATGCCCTCGAGTTAATGAGTACTGATGTTTGGGGTCCAAGCATAGAATGTGATCAGTTCCCCAGGTTTCAGGGCTGAATGGGTGCCATGCTGTCTACTAGACCCTGACCTGAGGCAAATCTCTATGTTCCTTCAATTGTTATCTATGACCTCTATCTGTTTTCTGTAAACATAGCCTTTTGATATCGATTTATGAGCTTTGCATGCATGCTGTGTACCCCTGCACATATCATTCTCAATAAAAGCCACTTCAAGAGGAGGGCTTAGGGCATTCTCCACTAGAGGTAATCACCACCCTCTTTTCCTGGCAGACCGAGAAGGGTCTGGAATGGCTTATTTTATTTTCCTCCATCCACAGTAACCTGGGGGGACTCTGCACAGGACACACTACCCTCCTTCAGCCAATGTCAAGGAAGATCAGTGTGGCATGGAGCAGCAGTCTGGTGTGTCGAGCTTGCCTGTCTCAGCAGTGGTCTGGAACCTGCCTCACTTATGCCTTGAAAGTGGTGTACTCCATCATTCTGGGTCTTTTTGATAAATATCTTGGTACCCCTGATGTCAAGTGTGGGATTCTCCCAGGAACCTATGGGTGGTATATGGCTGTTTTGCTTGACACTCCTGCTGGCAAGTGTTGAGTTTCCTCAGGAGCTTGTCTGTGGGTGGTTCCACTCTGCAGACCTATCTACTCTGACCACATAGGTAGATGTGTCTCCTTGCCAGATGTGTTTACTCTGACTTAGGTAATTTTCCTCTTTAACCAAAGTATCATGGCTGACTGACAGCCATTTTATTTGACATAAGTGACTCCACTTTGTTTCATATACTTTATACTATCTTAATTGGACCAATGCCATTTTATTGGTCTTGCTTTCCACACATATCTATATTCTGTCTTACTTCTATATTACTTTTCTTATAATATTTTTCCTTAAACTTACTCATTATAAAAATTCAAATACATTCATTTCGAACAGAGAAGTGATAATATCTACAAAAGTAAAGGTGCAGATATCAATTATATTTATGAAAATTTCAAATTATAGAGAAGTATAAGAAAATAACAACAAAACACCTACCACTCAGCTCTATCACATTGTAGAACTTCGGTTTTGCCTAATTTTAAAACAATATGGTCCATTTTGATATATGTTCTTAGTTTGGAAGGTTCTTTTTTAAAAAATTTTGTGTCAGTTTCAGTGTGTCACATAGTGGCTAGACAATCACATATTTTACAAAGTGTTGCTCCCAATATTTCTAGTACACACTTGGCATCATACATATTTATTACAATAATATTGACTGTATTCCCTATGTACTTTACATCCTGGTGACTATTTTGTAACTACCAGTTTGTACCTCTTAATCCCTTTAACCTTTTTCCTCCAGTCCTCAGACCCCACCCCTTTGGCAACCATCAGTCTGTTCTTTGTATCTATAAATCTGTTTCTATTTTGTTTTTTCATTTCTTTTGTTCTTTAGTTTCCAGATATAAGTGAAGTCATATGGTATTTGTCTTTCCCTGACTGACTGTTGTTGCAAATAGTTAGATTTCATTCTTTCCTATGGCTGAATATTATTCTATTGAATGTATGTGCCACCACTTTTTTAACCACTCTTCTATTGATGGGCACTTGGGTTGCTTCCATATCTTGGCTATTGTAAAAGATGTTGCAATGAACATAGAGTGCATTTATTCTTTTGAATTAGTGTTTTGGGTTTCTTTGGATATATACTCAGAATTGGAATTGCTGGGTCATAAGGCAGTTTGACTTTTAATTTTTTGAGGAAACTTCACACTGCTTTTCATAGTGGCTGCACTAGTCCGCATTCCCACCAACAGTGCATGAGGATTTCCTTTTCTCCACATCCTCACCAACACTTGCTGTTTGTTAATTTATTGATGATAACCATTCTGATAGGTGTGAGGAACTATCTTATTGTGGTTTTAATTTGCATTTCTCTGGTGATTAGTGCCATTGGGCCTCTTTTCATATTTCTATTGACCATCTACATGTCCTTTTTTAGAAACTGATTAAGCGAGAGAGAGAGAGAGAGAAAGAGAGAAGAAAACATAGAGTTGTTTTTCCACTTATTTATGCATTCATTAGTTGCTCCTTGTATGTACCCTGACTAGAGGTTGAAACTGCAACCTTGGCATACTGGGACAATGTTCTAAACTGTGCCATCTGGCCAGGACCATCTGTATGTCCTTTTAAAGAAGTATCTATACAGTTCCTCTGCCCATTTTTAAAATTGGGTTTGTGTGTGTCTGTGTGTGTGTTGAGTTTTGTAAATTCTTTATAATTTTTGGACATTAGCCCCTTATCAGGTGTATTATTGGTGAATATTTTCTCCCAATCTATAGGTTTTCCTTTTTTTTTTTTTGATGGTTTCTTTTGCTGTGCAAACACTTTTTAGTTTGATGTAGTCCCATTTGTTTATTTATTTATTTTTTTCCCTTGCTTGAGAAGATATATCAGAAAAAATACTGCAGAGATAATTGTCAGAGATTTTGCTGCCTATATTGTCTCCTAGGACTTTTATGATTTTGAGTGTTATATTTAAGTCTTTCAACCATTTTGAGTTTATCCTTGTAAATTGTGTAAAAAAGGTGGTTTAATTTTTTTTTTGCTTGTATCTGTCCAACTGTCCCAACACCACTTACTGAATAGACTGTCTTTACCCCTTTGTATGATTTTGCTTCCTTTGTCATAAATTGACCATATAGGTGTGAGTTACCATTTATCTGTCCATTTTTATTCCAGTACCATGCTGTTTTGATTACTATAGCCTTGATATTAGGTAGTGTAATACCTCCAACTTCATTTTTCTTTCTCAATATTGTGGCTATATGGGGTTCCATATTTTCTGTGGTTCCATATAAATTTTTGGATTATTTGCTCTAATTCTGTGAAATACATCATTGGTATTTTAATGAAAATTGCATTGAAACTATAGACTGTTTTGAGTAGTATGGACATTTTAATAATGTTAACTCTTCCTATCTGTAAGCATGGTATATATTTCCATTTATTTGTATCTTCTTCAATGTCTTCAGTGTCTAATAATTTTCCAAGTATAGGTGTTTAACCTCCTTTGTTAAATTTATTCCGAGGTATTTTATTTTTCAAAATGCAATCATAAATGGGATTGTTTTCTTAGATTCCCTTTCTGATAGTTCATTATTTATGCCCCAATTTTTTAATTGGTGTATAAAAATGCAACCAGTTTCTGAATATTTATTTTGTATTCTACTACTTTTC